CTGAAGTAATATGTTCAAATTTTAGAGAAGACTTTTTTTTTTGAAAAGCAAACAGGAAACAGAAAAACAAAAAAAAGAAACTAGGAACACCTCCTAGACCAAACTACTCCTACATAGTCCCTTTCAAGTTTGTCACGACAACCAGAAGGAGGCGAGTCAAACTCTTGTAAAGACCAATCAAAGGAGTAGGCAAAAGAGGCCATCCAATCGGCAACCCCATTCCCTTCCCTATGAATATGGGAAATTCTAACCCTCCAATTCCAATCCAGCATATTCCTTATGCGCAAGACCAAGTTAGAGGCTGGATGATGAGAGCTGCACCCTTCTCTTATGAAAAACTGGGCTACTAAGGAATCACCTTCAAGCCAGACAAAACGGAAACCTTTCCTCCATGCAATCTCAAGCCCAAGGAGACAACCCCAAAGTTCTGCTAACAAAACATTACCACAGCCAAGATTTTTACAAAAGCCAACAAGCCACCTTCCACTAGCATTCCTAAATACACCCCCACAAGCAGAAGCTTCTCCATTATTCATACTTGACCCATCCACATTGAGCTTAACCCAAGGGTCCGAAGGAAAAACCCAAGAAACTAATTTCTCTTTATTCGAGTTAGTCTCAAGACCAGCAACCCGAAGCGTGTTTTCTGACCAAGAAAAATCTTCACCATATACCATAGCAGCTCTAAAAGTGCCATAAGCAGGAACAGAAGATCCCTGAAAAATTTTCTTATTCCTAGCTTGCCAAATGAAACAGGAAATGATACCAAACAGAAGAGGCCATGATGGCAAATTGGACCAATTACGATCCTCAGAGATATTGGACAACACCCATTGCTGAAGATTAAGAGAGAAAAAATCCTCCCAAGCCTCTCGCTTAACTGCAATCTCCCACACTTTTTTTGCTGCAATACAATCTCTAACCGCATGTAAGGAAGTTTCCGTAAAACAATTGCACAGATGACATATATCTGAACCCGCCATGTGCCGTCTGCAACGCCCTTTGTATATCCGGTTTGTTAACATGTCATCGTATTAAGTCACGCTTAATTAAAAAATGCAAAATTTCTTTTTCTTTTTAATTATGACGTCATTATACTTAACCAAGTTGATTACTTAAACATTTTAATAAAAACATCGCCTGTATGTAAATTGCAACAGACAGCTAACTGAAATACCTCATATATAAATAAGTGAGTATCTAAGTCACGGATCTACAACACGTAGTCCGGACAATATCCTGATACATTAAGACATCCCAAAACTGAAATAAGACATAGTCAAACAATGTGGCATGGACAATTTCCATGCTCACCAAATAAGGCAACAAAACCCATAAAAGTCTCAACAATAGTAACATAATAATAACAAGCTAAAAGCATAACATCAGCAGATATAATCCAGCATCCAAACATGTCAGCACATAACATCTATATCAACTAAGCTTCGGCCTCCTGCCGCTAGAGGCATCAGCCCTCAAGTTACCTGAACCTGAAATAAGCGTCCCCAAACGTGGGGTGAGATCTCTAAACAAGAAATCTCAGTAAGACAAGGGGTCCTCAAGGATCTTCCACCCCAAGCTCACTTACATGTGCAATATAAGTTCAAAAGCATTTTAACAGTATAAGTTCCAAAACTATGCAGTGCAACATATATTCATGCCATGTGTGTTTTAACTATTCTACTGGCCAGAGAAATGCATGACATACGTCTACAACCCCACAATAAGTACAAGGAACACCGCTTGCACCTCACCCACAGCCTCACCATCTTGTATGTCCCCACATACTCAGGATTACCGTATAGGTGGAACACCATATGCATATCATAAAGGCACTCACATATAATAGCTTAATAGCATTTATCAAAATAATACATGAAAACAACATCATGCATATAAACCATCCCCCATGGGACATGGTGGAACCAACAATGGCTAATCCGAGGACACGAAAGCTTACCTTGCAGGCTAACAATCCAAGCCAAGAGTCCACACTAGCTCAAAGTCCACAAACAGCACAATCACAATCTGTTTATACAGTAATAATCATCAATAACCATTCACCAAGGTTACATTAAGTGATTAAGGCTTTCCATCTCATTTTAAGTCATTTTATATTGTTTCTGCAGGAGGTATTCGAATACTGCCCGAAGAGTATTCGAATACTACATGCCTCCAGAAAGTATTCGATTACTTTCACTATAGTATTCGCATACCACAAGGTATTTGAATACCAACACTCCAAGTATCCGAATACCACAGTATCCGAATACCAAAACTCATTGTATTCAAATACTTCTTCAAAGGTATCCGAATACTTTTCTTCCCAGAAAAGTATCCCAATACTCCAGCAAGGAGTATTCGATTACCAAGGGATAAGTATTCGAATACTACACGAAAAGTATTCGAATACTTATCAGACAGAATGCAGAAACTCGAGCATTCTTCTGCATAATTCCATTATTGGGAGTCCAATGACTCCCTAAACAGATATTCATAAGCATGTTAAGAACTCAGAAACACATTCCTTTACTTAAATGGTTAAAGTTTCTCTTTTTTTTTTTTTTTTGATAACAAAAGTTTCTCTTTTTAATAGATTAAACAAGCTTAAAACCTCAAAATGACAAAGAGGTGGTCATGGCTCACCTCAAATGCTCCAAACACAGAAAAAGACTCCTCCTTGGAGCTTCCAACACAGTCCCACAGTACTGACTACCAAGGCCCACGAATTTGACACCACAAGATGATGTTTTTCTCCACAAAGCTCACAACTTGGAGCTCAAAATACCATGACAATGGCCTCACCCAACCAAACACTCAAACTCAGCAAAAACCTCCACCAAACAGCAGCTTGCCTTCTTAGAACAAGGTCATTTTCACACCCCCAAGGTTGTCCCCAAGTGTCTAAAGGCTTAGAGGTGAAGAATCTCTCATAAAAGTCAAGTCTTGAGTAGTCTCAATGAAGGGAAGGCAATGGCTTGGTGAGGAAGAAGAGAAACGGCTGAAGAGAATCAACCACCAACACTCACGTAGGCACAAAATATGGCCTAGGGTTTTGGGTCCAATACCTATTTATAGGTCCATTAAGTTAAATACATTGCATTTCCAAAAATAGTTACGCTTAGCATTTTAATCTCAAACTTTAGATTCTGAACCTAGCCATTTTTCTAGGATTTATCATATTTTTATATTATTTTTTGCAGCACCTTTTCGGTACGCGCTTTTCCATAGCCAGTATCAGTTCTGGCACCAGTTCTCATTGTTTTAACTTGAAATCACAGTCTTATACCGCGAGCAGAACTGGTATCTGCACTTTTTGTCAGAAAAGTGACTTTCAACATTATTAATTACTCTCTATAATTATCCAAGCCTTCTCATAATTATTAAGGTCAATTATAAAATTATCTCATTAATCACATAATTATTTAATTAAATTCCTTAATTAATTGTGCAGATTCTTACATTCTTACTACCAAAATTTTCCACTATTAACTTACTACCTATCTAATCACCATTGGATCAAAGAGAGAGAATGCTAAAAAGTTTTTGAATAGAGAGAAAATGCTAATCCAATGGAGATTAGATAGATAGTAAGTTGGTAGTGAAAATTTTTGGTAGTGAAAATATTCCTCCTCTATTCATATTGCTTGATTTAGGATTAGTTCCGTATCTATATAAAACTCTTTAATTGCCCAAATCGTGGGAATATCTGAGGGGCTTAATTCACCTGAATTTTTTTTTAGGGTTGTGGAATTTATATATGGAAAAAGTGTTTATCCTTTTAAATGAGAGAACTTATATTATTTAACTCTCACAAAGATGTGAGACTCACATCTTTATTTTTTTTGTCAACTCTCTCTCCTCTTTTATCTATCTCTTAAAATGACACGACTTTACATGCTTTAAAATGACACACACTTTTCCATTTATATATTATGATGTGTAATTTGAGTGAAAAGGGTTTGAGTTAAGCAAACCTCGAAAGTACCGACACACACTTTTAAAAAAAAATTGTGTCTAGGACACCGATTTGTTTCGTCACGCGTTCAACACACTCCGACACGCGTTTTTGACATGCGGTCAACTTTTTTTCATACGCGGTCAACGCTCCGACACGCATCCAAGATTTATTTATTTATTTTAGGTCTAAATTTTATTTTATTTTATTAATTAAACATGAAAAATAATTTGTAAATCAATTTTTTTCTGTTATGGAATTTAACACGAAAAATTATTTTTTTTATATTTATGTTATAAAATTTGATTGATTATTTGATTTATTATGAACTCTTATATGTATTAAATATATATTATATTATATATATTAAAAATATTATTTAATATCAAAATATATTTTAATATATTAAAATATAATATTTTTTAAAATTAGCGTGTGAATATATGATTCATGTTCTATATCGATATTGATGCAACATAAAAGCAAACGGTACTAAATTCTTTCGCCACGTATATGGTATGCTTGCGGGAAAATACAAATATGCTTGCGGGAAAATACAAATAGGATGGATTCTCATATTTCAAGTTTCTTATTGGGTGATTGAGATCATCTTTCTCCACGTATATGTTATGCTTTTTGGAAAATACAAATAGGAGGGATTCTCATATTTCAAGATTAAAGTTTCTTATTGGGTGAGTGAGATCAGTGATCTTAAAAAATAATGATAATAATAATAATCCTGAAAATTCAGTACAAAAATTGGGTTTTGTCAAAGTCGTCATTTTGAGAAAACTCAAACGGTCACAAGTCACAACACAACAATCTATCAGTGGGCCCGATTAGCTAACGTGGCGAAATATGTTTCGATTCATGGACGTGTCAGCTACACATTTTAATGACGGAAATAACCTTCCTGCAGTGAACCTGGAGACAGGACAAGAGAGGGACAAAACCGTCAAACGGGAATGTATAACACCCGCATTGTTGAAACCGTTGGGAGGGAAAACGGAAACAGTTATCCCTGTCCAAAGAGAAACAATGGAATCATCTTCTTCTCGGTGATAAGAGAGAGACACAGAGAGAGAAACAAAAGGGTTGCGTAGAGTGAGGTTTTCGTATCGACAATGATCAAATGGACGAAGCAGTTGAATGCCACATTTGGGGCTTCGTTTCTATGGCTGATTTGCTTGATTTACTTCACCCAGGTTTCATTTCTTCATATTTTGTTAACTTTTATTGTAAATTTTTAATCTTTGCGTGGAATTAATGGTGGGTTTCTGTTCTTCGAGATCTGAGAGTTTCTTATTGGTTTTGACACATTGGGGATTTGTCTATTCATGTTTTTAGTCCTTTCTTCATAAATATAATTGCTCGGAATGAGTAATGGGTTTTTTTTTTTCCTTATCTTTTCCAGCTTCTGAGGATAGATGGTTCTATCTGTTTATCGGTGCCGTTAGATTGCTTTAGTGACATGCTTTCAACATTTTATAATCATGATGCCTTGCCCTTTTGTTTTCTTCGTTCTCTTGATTAACTCTATTAATGCAGGGTTTTAGGTCTTTTGTGTGGACAGCAATTTCCTACCAGCTTAAAGATAATCTTAATCTGTCACCCTCAGCTTCCCAATTTGTGTCTTCAGTAGCATTCTTTCCATGGAGCATTAAACCATTATATGGGTATGGATTATTGGATTTTTTTTATTTTTATTTTTTTCATTTGAGTATTCACACTTTCTGCTAGACTCCACCTAATTTAAGAGAAATGTGACGTTGATGTTGATTTTGAATTTTCACACATTTTTTTCAAGCAGTAATATATCTATATCTTAAAGTAGAATTGCAAATAATATCAACATGAATAATTTTATTGTGATCCTTTCCTGTGCTTTTGTTGCTTAGTTTGGAACTAATCTGGAACCATAATGGCAGTGATTCTGTCATCTATTGTTAGCTTTCTTTTGCACCTATCATGAAATATGACATAAAATGATGGAAATTATCTTTTGATTTGAATAATAAGAAAGGGAAAAGATTAGGAAAAGTCTGAGTTTAAATTAAATTAAATACCAGTAGCTGTTCCTCATCAGATGTAAAAATTATTTTTCATTGTCATTAGAACATGCAGGCATGGTTTTAAAAATGATATATATATATATATATATATTCCTAACAAATGGGAAGAGGAAAGAGACAAAAATGCATAAGAGAATGCAAGATTTTAAGATAACTCTGAATGAATAAGTGACTTTTTTATTCAACATGAAAACTAGCTGCATAAACAGAAATTTTACTAATGGTTTTCATTGTCTCTCCAACCTATTAAACTGTGTCAACAGTTAAAAGCTGCAGCTTAGTCTGTATAGTTTTTGTGTATATGTGTATCTGTTTGTTTACTACATCAATTTTATACTATTTCCTTGCAATCTGATGTGGTTACTGATGCACAGAATACTTTCTGATTGTATCCCCATTAAAGGAAGAAAACGGATTCCCTACTTGGTGATTGCGACTGTGCTCTCCCTTGTGCCATGGTTTATTTTAGGCTTAAATTCAACCTTGAGGGATTCAAGAGGGCACCTGATGGTATTCTTGACTGTTCAAAACTTGGGCTCAGCCATGGCGGATGTTGTTGTTGATGCAATGATAGCTGAAGCAGTAAGATATGACCGGTATGTTTGCATCTTGAGTTCCATATTTTCATTTTCTGCAAACAAACTTCTGCATATTGAATATTTTGTGCATATTGGTGCTGTCAATAATGCAAAAATATGGGATCATATGTTGGAATAGTAGCCTAGAAAATCTGGAAAAAAAGAAAGAAAAAAAAAAAGAAATGAAAACATACACAGAACATTGGAATTGTAGTTTCACTCTTCTTTTTTTGAGCCAATTTGCACTTTTTTCTATCTACAGAACAAGGGTGGAGGGTTAAATCAGATACTGGGTGTCCATTTAATTCTTGATTGACAAAAAAGAGAAGCAAAAAAAAAAAAAATTGAGAGAGGATGGGGAATATAGTTGAGTGAGAGTAGTATGATTCCTAAAATATCAATCAATGTTCCTTCTATTATATAGTTTTACAGGTTTTACATTTTGTGAGACACCTTTACTAATTCTTTGCTAGCATTTTCAAGTTTGCATTTACAAGACTTTGTAAGATAAATTTTGTTTTTTGTTTATTTGGGACAAGATATTTTTCGTTTTAATTTGATATCAACATGCCATCCTTCTAACTAGATAATTGAATTCAGTTGAATTTGTTCTTTCTGTAATATACGGAATTCAGTCTCTCAATATAATAATGTATTAATGAAGGGTATTTCGAAGAATGGATTGGTTAATTTTGTAACTTTTGTTGATAATCTTTTAGCCTTATTTCAATTATTAGATCCACACATAAGGTTTGAACTGGAGGGAATTTCCCTTCCTGAATCTTCTATGATGGATATCTTTCTTGGCATTGTAGCAGAGGGCTACACCTTGTATCCATGTCTAACCTTTGGTGTTGATTATGTACTTAGTTCACGCAATCTTTGCGGAATGTTTTTCTTACACTCTGATTAAGTGCTAGCTTTTGTTGGTCAGGGCCTCATTTGCAGGAGACCTGCAGTCAATATCTTGGTCTGCGATGGCTTTGGGAGGAATATGTGGGAGTTTGTTAGGGGGATATGCATTATCCAATTTACAGATAGGTGCTATTTTTCTTCTATTTTCTGTACTACCAAGCATACAGTTATTATCATGCTGTTTTGTGGAGGAGAACTCTGTAACTAGCAAAGTTTTACCCGAGGATTCTATTGTAAGGGATTCACATATGAATGGTAGTACCCTAGATGAAGATAGTCCTTTAACCAAAAACTCCCAAAACAGTACAAGAAGAAGAAAGAAGGGAAAAAAGAACGGGAAAAGTAGAGCAGTAAATACCAGCAAATCAAAGATTCTTGAGAAAGGAGACTCCTTGGCATTACAGTTGTTCCGTTCTTTGAAAGAAGCAATTTATGATTTGGGTCGTGCTTTTAGACAGCCAATGATTTTGAGGTAATTAATTTAATCTTTAAATATGCTTTTCAGATTACAGATGATTTCTTATCAAGAGCACATTTCCTGCTTGAGAGTTTCATCTATATGTACAGTTCGAGTAACTCTGCACATTTCCTCCTTGTTCCTGGTTCCTGCAGCTCTTGAACCACATTGACATGAAAAGGCGTTTTAGCAAAATCGTAGCCAATTAAAAAGATAATTTCCATCTTTCTTCACATTATAGCCCTTAAATATTTTTAAGTAACCACGGATTTTCATCAAACAAAAAAATGTGATCAAGATAGCTTATATTGACAGATGTTACTTTCAAAATTATTCTCCGCAATGATTCAGAACTAATAATAAGTAATGTTTCTGAACACTTCGCAGTTAACCATATCACCTGAGATATTTGAGCTTTCTTTTCCTCCTCCTCCTCCTGCTGTCCTCTGCATGTGTCTGTTTGATTGTGTGTATGGCTTCTCAGAATGAAGCTAATTCATTTTATGGATATGCTATAAAATGGTTAATAACAATCTTTGTTTTATGTTTGTGGGGGCAGATCTATGTCTTGGTTTTTCCTTGCCCACATTACTGTTCCCAATCTTTCAACCGTCATCTTCTACTACCAAACAGAGGTTCTGAAGCTGGAAGCTTCTTTCCTTGGGACTGCACGGGTTGTTGGGTGGTCAGGACTTATGGTGGGCACCTTCATTTATAATCGCCACCTAAAGTATATGACCCTACGAAGAATTCTCATGTAAGAAACAAAAGATTATTTTTGATTGTTGTATGGTTAACTTACGTATGTTTAATTTACTGAGATGTTCTCATTCTAATTACAGGTGTGCCCATATTGGCTTAACCTTCTTGAACCTTCTGGAGATGGCTGTAGTGTCTAGGACAAATATTGCGTTTGGAGTATCAGACAAGATTATGGTGCTCTTTGGCTCAGCTCTTGCTGATGGAATTAATCAATTCAAGTACATCATTGCTTCTCTTTTTAGATTTTGTTCTTTACTAAGTAAAAACAATTCCCTATTAAATCCCGACTAGCGAGGGTACGAGTGAGGACAATCTTTATATGTGATCTTATCCTTGCATATTTATAAAGAAGATGTTTCTTAGATTTCCGTAACCTTTTAGTCACAAAAAAGCAATTTTACTACTGCTATAGGCTCAGCCCTCTTTTTGTTCTTTACTAAGTATTATTGGATAAAGATGTGCATGATAGGGTAGATGAAAAATATTTCCAAGAAAAGCATAGAAAGAAGTAGGAAAGATATGTTATTTTATCAAATTCCCACTCTTTCTTCATCTCAAAATAGAGTCGAAAACATTTTGTATGGATGTTGTGCACATGATGATTTCTTCATTTTCGTTACATCCTCTTCTTAATATTACAAAGTTAACATTTTCATTCCCTATGTTATCACTGCTCCCGTTTTCATCTTTACGAAACACACCTAATAGGGATTAGATGAGGTCAAGACAAAGGGTAAATCAGTTACCGCAGTTAGTATTTTATGATTTTGCCTATTTACCAGTGCTTTTTGGTTTGTCACATTAGCATCTGCATTGTTGCACCTGAGCTTTTGATGCAGGAAGCATAACTATTTGAACCATTTATTTGTTCTAATTCTTTACCTGATTTTTTTCATTTTCATTTTTTATTTTTGGAAAAACTGCAGGTTCATGCCTTTTCTGATCTTATCTGGACAACTATGTCCTCCAGGAATTGAAGGGACTTTATTTGCCCTTTTCATGTCTATTAACAATTTGGGAACAACAGTGGGGTCTTTTGTGGGTGCTGGGTTGGCTTCTGTTTTGAACATTGATTCAGGGTCATTTGACAATCTTTTCTTGGGCATCATGATTCAAACCTTGTGCAATTTCATTCCAATTGCTTTTCTGTTTCTGATACCAAAAGAAGCTACAGGCTTATCAACATAGATTATGACTACCATAGGGGATTGGCTTTGCTTCATTACTTTATTTCTAGGTTTATGGCAGTTGATATCTTACACTGGTACACCTGATAATGTTAGAGGAAATGAGGAACATATTAATCTTATTTTTATAATTCTCTTTGAGAACAACACTATACTGATTGTATATACTCTTGTACAGAAATTTTGGTCAGCAAGTATATTCTATGTGAATAATGGGAAAGGTAGTTGCCACACATCTTCATTTGTTAAAAATAAATAAATAACTTGGTTTTGAATGAGTTTAGTTTTGGCTAATAAGCACTTATCAAAATGTTTCTCCGCATCTGAATGCATTTGATGAAAATAAACTTACCAATTTTGAACAAGGTATTCATGTATGGTTGCTTTTAGGATTATAGTGTAATGCGTTGCTCCACCAAGTTAATTATCGCAATGTTTTAATTCAAGTATTCTTGTTTTTGCTATAAAAAAATTACTAAAAAAATCCTCTTTCAACTTAGCCAAACTGATGCTAATGGATGATGAATCAATATTCTCCTTTGAAGGAAAATAAAAATAGAAAGAAGTTAAAGCTAAGCTTGATTTTTAGTGAATTGGATTTAGTCTATCAAATGGTAGCCAAATGCCCCTTAAAATTATTAGTTTATAGAAATGCAACTTGATGTTTCTCATAGAAAAAATTATCTTCTTTTTTTTTTCTTTTTTTTTGGGTATATAGGAGGACTAAAAATGACAGCAGCTATAAAAACACCAAACTAAACAGATTGCATCAAAGGACCTGCAGGACCAATTCCAAGATCAAGAATGTCAGCAGATAAGAGGGGCAACATCAACAGATGAGGCGAAGAGTGAACACAAAGGCCAAAACAATTGTTGAGAGCATCTTTTGCCAGCCAGTCTGCACACCTGTTAGTTGAGCTGGGAATATGGGTGAGACAAACATTCCATTCCTTTTCTAAAAAAAACTTGAAGCCTAGCTACCAATGGTAGCTTTCGAGTATCATTACCAGAGTTGGTAAGTAAGCTTAACGCTTGTACAGAGTCATTTTCAATAGCTACATTCCTCCAACCATTGTTCCAAGCAAAAGAAAGGCCATGGAACACCGCTTAGAGCTCTGCTTGAAGGGGAGAGCAAGAGCCCAGAAAAGATGAGAAACTACCAAGCCAAACACCGTTGGAGTCCCTGATAAGACCACCACAAGCTGCCTTATCATTGGACACAACCCTATCGATATTAAGCTTAACAAAACCAATAGGAGGACAAGTCCAAGAGGGAGCAGAGTTCAAACCAGTGGAGATAACATGTCTGGAAATTTTAGACTCCTAGTAGATGAAACTTCCTTTATAGTGATAATAGAAGCAGGGTCGGCTGGCCTCTGGAAGTCAGCCTCATGCACTTTAGCATTTCTCCAGGTCCAAAAGAAGTTGCTAATCAGAAAAAAGTAATCCCTCCAATCCACAAGGTTGCTATTAAGATGAAACAAGTTAAGATACAATCATTCAGGAAAACTAGTAAATTAAAAAAAATAATAGGGGAGGGGTTGGAGGAGGTTTAGATTCCAAAAGACAGAAGCTTTTGGATAATCTCTAAACACATGCAAGCTAGATTCCACTTTATCAGGACAAAAGGGACATCTACCATTGCTACTCCCCCACTTAGCTGTTTCCTCCCTAGTTAAAATTCTGACATGGTTCATTTTCCAGAGAAGATATTTAATCCTTTCTGGCCCTTACCATTTCCATATCCTATCCCAAGATTTGTTGGGAGAAAGGGTCATAAAGCCTATAAGATTAAATAAGCAAGTTTAACTAAGGAATTAGTGGGGCTCTAGTTTCTCCAGGTTAATGCATCAAGCTCGGCATCCAAACTCGGGGGGGGGGGGGATAAAATTAATGGTCCTAGAATCAAGGTGTTTGCTCAGCAAAGGGACATTCCAATCACCTTCAAGGAGAAAAATATAATCATTGACCTTGTTATCTAGATCACCCAGGTCCATAGGAGAAATGGCATATGTGAGTAAATTATTATCTAAACCAGTCCATTTATCAAGCCAAAAATTCACCAAAGATCCATCACCAATCTGCCAACCTAGGCCTTCTAAAGTCTTAGGCCAGACTTTACAAAGACTATTCCAAAGATAGGAATCATAATTTTTGCAACAGATATCTTTGGAGATATTCTTTCTTCTACCATACTTAGCCATCAATAGACGAACCCATAGCTGGTCAGGGGAGTTTAGGAGAGTCCAAATAGCTTTGTGGAGGAAGGCTTCGTTGTGCTTCCTCAGGCTTATAATTCTCAGCCCACCAAAGTTATCAGGGAGGCTAAGATGCTCCCAAGAAATAAGATGTTGTCTATAACATCTCTTAGTTCTAAAACATATAATTATAGTTAAAATATAGATTAAAGGGTAGGATCAGTGCAAATCTTGAGTTCTTGGTCGAAATACGTAAAAAAAAGTAAAATAGTAAATTGCCAAACACGTACCCCTAAACAGTAAAATGTTAGTATGAGGTCTCAAAAGGGAAAACTAACACTGAAAATGGATTCGGAACGAAAAATTGAGTGGTTAGGCAAGTTTCAGGAAATTTGATAAATAATACTTTTACCGAGTAAAAATATAACAGTACAGTTGCACCGAAAAGCGTGCCGAGTGAAATTTGAGCTCTAGGTTTGAATATAAGTTGAAAAGGGTACGTAGGACTAAGATTTATGATTATTGATGAAATTTGATTAAAATTAAGATTTTTGGGGAAACGTGCCCACAATGCACATATCAGCTTAAAATTGTGATTTCACCGAATGACCGGAAAACTCCGGATTCATCTGCTCAAGGGAAATTAAAGAACTTTGATGATTGTTAAAATTTGGAGTTTAGAAATAGTCTAGGAATTATTTGGAGATTGATGGTTTAAGCGGGAGATTCGAAATAATTTGAATTGAGCGAGGTGGCAAGTGGGACCCACCCTCTTAAGTGGCTTAAGACACATAAGCAATCCGTTACTATTCACTTTCTTCCTCCGTCATTCTCTCTCTTCTTGGCCGAAAATCCTCCATGGAAGAGGGCAAACTTTGTGACTTTGATTCTTTATCAATCTTCCACCAAAATCAACAAAGTCTGTCATGAAAATTTAAGTAAAAACATTCCAAATCCAACCAACCCATTGTTAGCTCTTGAAACCCCCTAAATTTGGAGAAAAACCCTACCTATGACTACGAAATTTTGAGGTGTTTGGGTATTCTTGGAGTTGTTTACTTGAACTAATGCTTGGATATTACTTGGAGGAGTCTTAGGCATTGATCCTTGGTGAGTTTCACCACTTGTTGTTGGTTGAATGTTGAGATTGAAATTTGAAAACCTAAGGCATGTGTTCTTGGATTGATGTAGTTGGGGATCTCAAATTGAAATTGTGCATTAGATAAATGTTGCTTAGAATGATGAATTAGAGTGATTGAGCTCATAAAAATTATTGTGAAAAAGTTTAGTACGTTAGTGAATTTTTGGATGGATGAGTATGATTTTGTGAAATTGAGTTGTTGGATAATGGTGAAATTGAGTTGTGGATTAGTTATAGTAGTTAATTATATGATGTGTGGTGCATTTTGAAAAATGAATTGAGAATCCTTGGTTTTGGACTTGTATAATTCAACCATTTAAGTGAATTTAGGGAAAGATGATGCAAAGTTGGTATAATTGATGTTGTGATGATTTGAACCAAGTTGAAATAGGTTGTGTGATTGTGTAATGCATGTGAGTTGGAAGTGAAACTATTGGATGTCCCTAGGTGTAGCTTTCAGTCTTAAAAGGTAAAATTAGGGAAATGATGTTGAATTATGCTTAAATGCAATTGTGGGTTTGTATTGGTGTTGTGATGGGCTTAGGAAGCCATATGAATGTTGAAAGAAAATTAACAACATGAAAATCATAAAATGGCCATAATGGCCGAATGGGTGTTGTGTGTGTGGGAAGGGTATTGCTTTGCATTTCAACTTGATGTACAAGTGAATTGATGATCCTATATGTGATCGTTGTAGGTTGCCTCCCACGGACGGGATCCTTGATGATTGAGCTTGGTGGATTGCCTTTGGTCCTTGACCAAAAGGATTTGGGCATTTCTGCTTGGATTAAGTTACTAAGTAACTTGCATTAAAGCTACCTAGCTTGGGAGCTTCAAGAAAGTGATCTCTTGGTACTGGGGTTAATCCCCGTGTATGCTACATCATGCCCATTGGGGTAGTGGTTGAAAGTTGTATGTTAAATGATGTGGTTATAACATACTCATGCATATATATATATATATATATATATATATATATATATATATATATATTAGGTACATAGTATGTACCGTATTTCTGGCCAGTAGATAGATTGCTGTATGGCGTTACAGACTTCCACTGGATAGGTCTCCGTGAGGGAATTCCAGTTGGCCTGGGGCTGTAGAGCTATTATCTGTTGAGGAGCACTCTAGGAATGTCTCGGGTGTATCGGATGGAGGGCGCCTTGAATGATGTTTCGGGAACACATTCTTGGATGAGAGCCTGTAGGCTATATGCCGAGGCCAGTAGGCTGGATGGTGTGTGGTTTTGGCTATGACCATTCCAGCTTCATTGTATGTTTTCTCTTTATACATCCTTACTTCTCTAAATCCCTTGCTATATCCCTTTATTGTTATGATTCATTGTTGTATTACATCTGAGTGAGCCATTGGGTGGAGTGATCCTACAGAACCTCTGGGTTACTAAGATATATTCGTATATCTCTCCCCACGTTATGGGGCTATGTTTCAAGTGGCTGTAGCAGGACATGAGCTATGGGCAAGAGACCCACAGGTTGAGTTTGTGGAGTTGGAGTATTTTGTATTTTGGGCCACTTGGCATTGGCTAGACTTAGAGCATGAATATTGTATATTGTATTAGTGATTTGTATCATTCCTTAATTGTTCATGCTTCATTTTGGCTAAGTCTAGATTAGCATATCTATTGTTGTATTTTGAGGTACCTTATTGTAGTTATATTTGATATTGGAGGATTGTAATGTAATGCTTATGGACCTTGAGTAATAGTGTAAAGCATGTATGTGATGAAAGGGCAATAGGCCTATTTTAGGGTATGATTTATATGTCAATTGTTAAGAATGCATGAAATGGAATAATGTGATTGTAATGAGTGTAAGTTCTGAT